AAACCAACCCAAAACACAAGTCCTCGTTTTACGAGTACAGTCCTAATGTCAACATTTGAAACATAATCACACTTTGTTGAGAATGGAACATATACTCTATAACTCTGAAATTTCTAAAATTGTGTATTATCGATACATATACAATAATTGACTAATTGTTTTCAATAAAAACATTTACAAATTTATCCAGATATACAAATATGACATTTAATTTCAAAAAGTTCATAATATTTCTCTCATCTACCAATACTTACATTGCAAGAAACCACAGAGATGCAATGACATCATCAATGACTTGACCACCAATAGCTATCACACTGTAAGAAAATACTTAAAGTCAACATTTGAACTTTGACCTTGATTGCATTTACTGTAAAATACTTTATTTTAGCTGGAATTAATTTTCACTGAAAAGACTTTTTTTGCGTTTTGTATGGAATTTATTTTCACTGATTTTTGATGAGTTGAAAGTAAAGTTTAGGAAAAAGGTATTATTCGCTGGATTTTATTTTAACTGATTCTTCCCTTTAGCAAAAATTGCATAAATTAATTCGAAGTGAAAATAAGTATTTCACAGTACCTTACTTCTTAAACTTTAATATAATAATAATAATAACAAATTTCTTAAGTGATGTTCATTGTGTCAAACATGAATACAAATCATATATATATTATAAAAAAAAGTTTTCAAAATACTTTAAAAATAATTTGTAATACCAGTAAAATCGGAATTAAATGAAGAGCTGTCTTCTAAACAGATGAGTTCTCAGATTTCTCTTAAAAATATTGATTTTGATTGACTGACGAATGGAAAGTGGAAGTTCATCCAACAAAAGGGGGCATAATTGCTTTGGCTTATGTTGCATTTGCCCTACATTTATTGCATTTATTTAAAGCAGGGGAGTCATTGCCTGCGCATGCGTCAGATGGCCATAACGTGTCATTGTTTACAAACAAGGGTTTACCCATGAGCCTTTGTGTTTTTAGCGTGTGTTGTTCTCATCGCTTGGGACTCAATTCCCGCGCATGCCCAGGTGACTACCCTCTCGCTTTAATGCTGGATCATTGAAAAATGGATTACTAGTATTTTGACAAACCTTCTAGTAAGTGCATGTACTATTATATCAAGCAACATTAACAAAATTAGAAAATTCTATTTGTATTCAAATCTTGAAACTTACGAATCAATCGCGTCTAAATCCTCTTCCGTTAAAGTTTGGTTGTTTGGTAATGTGGAGTTGACAACCTCGGCAGGAAGTGGTTCACCACTTAGAATAAAATCTGGAACACATCTTCCATCACCTGTAAGCATACGAGAATTATATTCAATCATCAAATATTTGCATAAACTGTTATTCTTAAGTTTGATAAAAATTTTGCCTATTTTCATTTTGATGATAATTGTGGACCAAGTAGACATAAGCCCGCATTGGCTACAGGTTTTAAAGGGCGGTAGTCATCGCCCGACGCATGCGCGAGATATATGGGTCTCATATAAACAAAGATGGCGGATATGACAGTTTAGATGTTACAAAGCTTTAATTTGGTATTTTTAGGTGACTGGAGGTATCAAGAGGTAATAAGTGCAAGTCGCACCCAGGTCAAACCTCATACTTGTGATTTCGATTAAAAGAGTACATTGGATTGTGGGAAAATCAATGTTTATCAACACAAATGTCGCACATGCATAGCACGATGACCACCGCCCTTTAATTAAATTGTGGTCAAAAATATGAAAAATATTATGTTAATTTTATTTTGTTAAATATGGCTAAAAAATATTTTTCTTGCATTAAAAGGACATTTTATTGTCATGTGAATTTTGAATCCCAGTGAAATATTCACAAAATTTCTTTCTCCAATTTTTTTGCCTACTGGAAATTCAATTTTTTAAAGTTTAAACTTAACCCCCCAAAAGTTCAGCATTATTATCACCATTTAAAAAGTTAACAGTTTTTCTTTTTTTCTTTTTTGCTTGCTGCCATATAATGAACGCTCAGCAAAATAAGTTCAGATCTTTTTTGAGTCTATGTTTAGCAAGACAGGTTACAAAAATAGTAAATCTCTATTTGTGTCTAATCTACTAATTTCAATAAGGAATTTTGAATATGCGACTACATCAGTTAAGCCAGGGTGAATTTAAAATGTCAATAAAAAGTAAAACAATCACGGAAATATAAATATAATTTTTCTAATACACAAAACAAGAAATCCCCTTTTCCCCATTGTTAGACAAAACCTCTTCTAATCCCAAATCACTAGTTGAATATGATAACAAATTTGAAAAAAAATAATGAAATAAATAAATAATAGTTACTAAGTGAGCTTGCTAAATAGTATGCGGCGCAGTCTTCATCCTCAAACAACTCAGCTGGAGACTAAAATCAAACAAAAACAATTTATTTTAAAAAAATTGATATTTAGTTTTTTGTAATGGGGACTGTGATTATAGAATATGACATGCTGTGTTCATATAACAAGGGTACGTCACATACCTTTCCGGACGTAGCGGGATCTATATGATATTTGCATATGAATTTATCCCATCTGACGTTGGTAGGATTCGTTAAGTACCTGGATTCTTCTTCGTAACCATTCCAGTTCTCTGTCGGGCATTCCTCAATACATACCTTAACAACGAAAAAAAATTAAAGGGCTGTAGTCGTCGCGCCACGCATGCGCGACATATATGGATCTCATATAAACAAAGATGGTGACTTTGACTGTTGGGCAGATCAAAGGCGTTACCAAGCTTTTTTAGGTGATTGTAAGGTATCGAATGAGTCACCGGTGGTAAATAGTGCAAGTCGTGCCCAGGTCGAACCTCATACTTGTGATTTCCATTAGAAGAGCGCATTGAATTATGGGAAAATCTATGTTTATCAACACAAATTCGCACATGCGCAGCGTGACGACTAACGCTCGTTAATGAAAAATCTGTTAAATTTGCAGTTGCTGAAAATTACTTATTTAGTTTTTTTGTTGATAATTCTACATAATAAATTTTTTAAGTCTAAAAACTTTTGTGCTTACTTGCGGTGTATCACATTCTATGGTCAACTCATTGTTCTCTGTCTCTTCTGAGCATGCTTTGAAGTCAAAGTAAAAAAGACATGGACTATCCCTGTAAACAACAATTTGTATCAAATTACTTAATTTTCTACCCTCTGGTGTTGGAAACAGTTTATAACAAAAATAAATAACAATTCATTATAAATGTTATGATGCCTTATAGTGTATTTGGTCAACTCTATAGTTGGAAATACTTAGTTCTTTTGTTTTTAATATTATATATTTTATTATACTGTAAAATGATTAATATTCACCGGGTTTAAATTTCGCTGATTTTGCATTTCAGGTATATTCAGTGAGTTTTAAATTCACGGTTTTACCATTTAGATAATGTGTTCTATGCTAAATTTTACATATTCACTGGGTTTCAATTTAGCGCATTTTCTAGTCAGCGAAATAAGCAAAATTAAAACCCAGTGAATAATTAATTCTTTTATATAATCAAGTTAAAATGACATTTTTAAACGTTTCATGAAATGAGAAAAAAAAATTAGCAAAAACATACTCAACATCAACCCCGCAAATCTGGCCTAGAGAATCTGCTTTGTAAAAAAGTTTGTCTGGATCACCCACAGTGTAACCTGAAAAACAAG